CATAAATTATACTTCCCCAAGGGATAGTAAATTTAGATTACAAAATAAATTCGAAGTATTTTGGGAATACTAAAATCATGACTCATCGTCAAACATGACACTTAAAAAATATTTCAAATCAGCTAATTAAGATAAATACTTTCCAAGAACCCCCTAAAGTTACCATACTTACAAGTTTCTCCAAAGTATAATATAATTGCTATTAAAATTTTTCACAGAATTGTAATTTACAAAGTTCAATGTTTTATACCTATTTCCCAGTTATATACTTATATAGATAGCTTTTCGGAATGAAACACTGCGGTCGTGCCTGATATTTTGTGCTGCTACCCGGCCCTAATGGAACACAATATACTTCTATATACTTCAATATACAAACCTTCTATTGAAAGCTAAAATGTTAGTTGTTAATTGAGTTTAGGCAGGGATAGAGACCTCTGGTCCAGTAATCCCGTATTGCCACGGGTCAAACCCGGATAGTTACAGACCCTTTCGTTGACTTTTTAACTAAACTTTTGTGAGGCTAACCGATCCTAAGTAAAAACTAAAATTAAGGTTAAAATGTCAGCTGCTAAGGACATTCTAACCTCTAATTGAGATAGGACCCTCTGATTCAGTAATCTTCTCTTGAGTCAAATGAAAACCCCTGCAAAAAACGACTTACAATACTCCCGAAGTAAGGCAAGCGTGTTTTTGCAAGCGACTAAAACTTAGCGGGCACCACACGACACAGTTTGGAGCTGATAGTGAGTATGTATCCGACATGATGTGTAATTCTGGTATCATGGGATTGAAGGCTTAGAACTGTTTTGACCAAAAGAATTTGGTTTCTTTACTGAGCGTATTATGATGGTTGAAGGACATAGTTATGCAAGTAGAATGATTATAATTACTTTCATTTAATGAAATCGGTTGTTGTGACCGAAAGAGCAACAGATATGTTATTTTTTTCTCTCAAAGAAAAAAATATATCGCAACGTTTAACTTTAATTTCTATGAGTCGAAGACGAAGCTCTCTTAAAACTTTCTGACACACAAAAGCGACAAAATATGTCTTAAACGACAAAATATGACTTAAGTAACTTACTAAGTAAACAGTGGAACTAAGTAAGCACTAAGTAAGCATAAAAGCTCTTTCACATGCAATAAGTAACTTATGTCAATGGAAACGATTAGATACTAAAGTAACTTAAGTAACCTACTAAGTAAGCAGTGGAAACGTACTTTAACACACTGAACTATTGGAAATTAAACTAAATCGCAATTTAATTAAAATATGTTGGACAATACATTAATTATTTTTATTCAATATTCTATAAAAAAAATTTGATGATATACGAAATGCAACAGTAGTACGAATTCACCATACAAATTTATATAGCTTTAATAAAGACAACTACTTTACATTTTGTGGATTAAAAATATATCTTAAAACCAGTACTTATTTTGAAAAAAGTAAATAAAAAGAAGAAAAAGAAAATCAACAAATTGCAACCTTCTAATAATATTTTCCACAAAATATATAAAAGTATTTGTCCAAAGTTTTAAAATCAACAAAATTAAGAATTGCAGAAACTTTAACTATGAAACAAAGGTAAACTAAAATTCTAAGAAAATTTTTATCTCAAGTACTCCTTACAGAAATTTAACTACTTCATACCGCTTCGAATAATTTTAATAATCATAACTGTAGACTTCATTGTTGTAATATTTAAATAACAAAAAAAAGCATTTTTAAAAAAATATTTAAATAAATTTTTTTTACATTTTGTCATAATTTTCTTGTTTTAAAACTAACTGAAGCAATAAAAATAATCCGAGCTAAGTCCTTTCCTATTAAATACAAGTACACAGCTGCATTTTATGTAAATAAGGTTGAAAAAAACTGAAGGAAAAAGTGTTCATAACAACCAAAGGCACATTTTCATAGTGCTTTCAAATAATTAACATTTCTTACTATTTTTCCAGTGTAGTGCCAGTGCTACCATATATACCTATACACATCTATATATACGTATATATATCTACTTGCATAAATATATATATTTTTCATTTCGATAACTATAAAGTGTAGTTCACACTTTGCTTTTTATCTAGCACCAGTGTAACTCCTTAACCGAAGAGCTATAGAGGTGCAACTTAGCATCCATAATGACTTATTGTGTTGGCTTGCCCTGCCTTGCCTTGCCTTGTACCTGCTACTCCATTACAATTTTTTATATCCTTTCTTGAACAACAGGTACATCAGCATTATTATTTGCCATCTTCACTTGCATTTTCCTGGCGCTTTGAAGTGATTTGAGAAGGAAAAAAATAATACCAAAAATAAAAATAAATTGAAAAATGAAAAACGAAAAACGAAAAAAGAAAAATTAAATCCTTTCAACTTTTTAGTTTTCTTATCTCTTCTGTTCTTCGCAAATTGGAGATGGCAGACAAAACACCTGGGAAAAATGGAATTTAATTTCCTTGCACGCATTTTTGTTTTATTTTCAGGCAATGAAAACTGATGAAATATTGATGCCTAGGGCTTATGGCACAGTAGTCTCATTCAACTGGTTTCTGTTGTAAATTCCTTAAATAACTGTCAATTTATTATTAATTTATTGATTTTCTTAGTAATAACGAAGATGGTGCGAAAACCTCATTTTTTTTATCGAAACTCAATTTTTTACTCAAGGTGTCAGACCCAAATTTTTCTATAATTACATTTTTTAACTTTCATAATAAATTTTCAGCTAAATAAATTTATGAGACGTTTTTATAAATCGAATTTATTTATATATATATTTTTTTTTTTGAAGCAGTTTCTTCGTACAGTACTGAATTGCAACAACAAATATTTTTTTTATTTTTATTTTTAATTAATTGAATTTTGAGCTGACCAAATAACTGTTTTGATCATGGGTTTGACAAATACCCATCATCAGTGGTTTTGGAATTATTCTTTATTTACGAATAATTAAATATAAAAAATAATTTCAAGACCACTAATGATAGATATTTGGCAATATACGAATCAGCTGTATGCTCAGCTAAAAATTCAATTAATTACAAATAATAATAAAAATAATTTTTGTTGTTGCAATTCAGTACTGTACGAAACCTTTTTTAAAAAATATATATAAATATTTTTGTTTGGAACGATAATATGCATTAGGGTTTGTCAGTTGCCTAATTAGTTAATTAATTTGCACATTTTTTACTAACAGTGATGATATCACAGCAGATAATTTAAAAATATGGCTGAAAATTATAAAATCGAATTGATAGAGTGAAAATGTATGTAACTAAGTTAAAAGGCTACCCATGTTTCTGACTTTAATTCAATGAGGGCAATCAGTTATTTCTCTCATCAGCTATGGTTTTCGTGATCATAAAGTGAATACATAAAAACCTCTTTGTGATTCTCATGGTTCTTGCATCCCCTTCATTAGTGCGGCTTTTTCCCTCTACTACTGCAATTGTGCTTCGGTTTAGATAAAATACGATTATTAAGTGTATAGTTTATCAATCTTACTTTTATTATCAAAATAAGGTTTAAGTGCTTCGTGGTCTGATGACTCAGTTGTTCATTCTAAGAGATTATCATTGTGGAAAAAAATGTGTGCTTGAAATTTTGAAACATCTCCTGCTGGTATAGAACTGATCACAAAAGAAGCAGGGAAGTTCTAAAAGCAAACAATAAAAGTTTTAAAAGAAAAAATCAAATGAAAAGGAGAACTGTTGAAATTTTATATAGCTAACACCAGGGGTTCGAAATTTATTAGACTTCTTACTCGGAGCGAAGTATTATCACAACTGTTTTCAATTTTACTTAAAAAACCATAAATATATTTTATTTTGGAATAAAAAAAAAATATGTATATTTTAATATAACAGACTCAAATTAATACAAAACGATATCTACTTAACAAGGATATGTAGATGTTATAAACAGAATTTCTACTTAATACCAAATAACTTTATACAAGACTATATCTTATTTAATCACTAATCAAAGAAAAAGTAATTCAAATGCTATATATATGCAAGAGGTTAAAGGACTGTGGAAGGTTCTGTATATATATATGCAAGAGGTTAAAGGACTGTGGAAGGTTCTCTATAACACAAATTAAAGAGATGATTCAAGCAGGTATGAAGAATAAGACAAAGCCGACATAAGCAAGTGGATATACTTGAAATAAGGTATTATAAATATAATCAGAATAAATATAAGATAAAAAATATTCTAATAGATACTAAGACCATGTTCCCATTTCGTTGTTTTAATAAAATGTAGAGTGCGTCAAGTACTATTAGTACACTAACTATAAAAAATGTCATAGTATTGTAATTTATTATATATGTTCTTTTTTCAAATGAATCTATTTTAACAGCAGCATTATATAGTTGTATCTATATAATCTATATAATGCTGCTGCATTGAATTATATGGACAGTCTTACAACAGAGACAGAAACGTTGTATATAGATAGAAGATCTACGCTCAAATAAATTTGGATTGAATTGGAACTTATATTTTTCAAACTAAGGTGTATAGAAAACAAATTGTGCTTATATTATACTGATGTATTTATACTATTAATTTATAACACTGCAACTTTACTAAATTCCAACCATATTTTCATTATATACATATTATTATAACTAAAATATACCTCTAATAAAATCATTTTGTTTTCTTTTTAATTAATATCTTCTTAATTTTAATTAATACTAATATAATTAATAATAATCTTAATAATATGTAGTAATGTTATTTGAACTAAACCTAACTCATTATTGCTAAAGTTAAGCAAAGTAGGTACATCGTTGCGTATGAGTGTTGTGTATGGAATTAAATAAAGTGAAACTTCACAATGCCGTGTGATATGATAATGTTTAAGTTTAAAGTTTTTTAATATAATATTTTTCAAAATAATACTATATATTATATACAAAATAATATTATATATAAACAAATTTAATAATTTGCATTATTACAACAGAATACTTACTCATTATTTCTTTTTTATTTTAACGAAATGTTCTAGAGATATATTTTAACAACAACAACAAGTCCTCGGTCTTTCAAAAAAGGCAGAAAAAATTCTATAATTTTATTAAAAATTCAAAAGGAATATATGCAATTTTTAGATGAAATATACCTATACATATATACTACCTCTCCGCCATGTAACCTGCACTGAAATTCATGAAACAAATAAAGGAACCTAAGACTACTGCAGCAATTGTTATTGGAATAGCTAATTTGTGTCTTTTAAGAAAACTACGTATAGCTCGTGATCTTTTATAAGCTCTCCACTGATGTAGAAATCTTTCGAGATAAGGTATATCTTTCCACTGCAAGAATGAAGCACAGAAGAACGGCTTTGCAAGCATTTTATATGAAGTTTACTCACTATTTTCCGTTTTGCGAGGTCTTTATGCCAAATCTCTTCATACAGTACAATTTCTGTTCTATTTAAAACCATTTTATTTACTATTAAAATATAAATCTGTTTAGTTTTGGAATATAGTTTTGGAGTATTGAGCGGAACTCAAATTAAGTTGTTTTATTTCACTGCATTTTTACTTTTCTAATTAAAAATTTTATTTAACTTTTTTTTGTAGTTGAAAACAAATTTAACACGTATTCGATACAAATTTATATATTTATTTTTTTTTATGTATGTACTAGAAAATGACAGTTTGTAAAAATTTTATTTTATATTTCAATAGTAAAATTTGCTGAAAAACTAAATTAAAATTGAAAAGTGCGAAAAACGATAACTTTTTTAATAATGAAGTGAATCCAATTTAACAACTTTATTTCCAAATAATTTTTTTATTTTATTAATATTCACATAATTGAATCTAAAATATTTGAAAATAATAATTCTAAATTAAAAATATTTAATTTTTTGTAGTAGTTTTGAATAATGCTTAGAAGTACATAATGGTTAGCAAATATTTGCAACAGTAAGAGGTCCTTTAATGAATAACTTAAGAGGCAACTTTGCTCATTTATTATATCTCGAACTGAACTGAATTAATTCTTTTTTCGAATTTTATATTAACTAAAAACGTTGTTGCTTAAATAAATAAAATGGGGAGGCATAAAATTAAATTAAAAACTTTTTTTTATCATTTTGAACTTGTTAAAGTAAAATGCAAGTTTGAATTTTTAATTAACTTCAAAAAAGGCTCAATGTACACCCACATAAAAGCAAAACGTTGTTAACATGTGTGAGTATATCCTTTTATTTCTCGGGTTGAAACATAAAATATACTTTTATTTGTTTATTTATGCAAATCTATGTGCTTTAATGTATTTTTACGAGGGTAACATTAAATACATCTCAAATTTTAATTTCTAATTTTTTGTAATAATGATGTATTAGTACCTTTACTATCACAAGCCCTGCATATCTGAAATATAGTTCATCAGCAATATGCAGCAGTGTTTTGTGGGTTTGAAGTAAAAAAATTAGAGAAAATAGAAAAAAATAGATATTTTTTTAATATTCTCGAACATATATTACACAAAGTTTAAGTTCGTCAAAATATTTGCATTGAAGATCTCATAAAATACTAATAAATTTTACCTTATACATTAAGACTGAAAAGTTTTCGGAAATTCTCATTTAAAATTCGCGCGCTGTATATTTTTCGATATTTTAAGTTTATGTAGTTTGGCAGCACTGTCCTTAATTACTATGCCAAAAATGAGCTCGATCTGTCAGACAGTTCGTTTACGGCAGCTGTTGAAACCAGTTCACCTCAGTAGTGCGTTGCGAAATGTCTTCGACGGTCGTACGACCGTCCTGGAAGGCTTTGTACCACTCATAAACTTGAGTTTTCGATAAAACTGATTCCCCATAAGCCTTTTGTAGCATTCGCAACGATTCTGCACACGAAATTTCGTTCGAAACACAAAATTTGATGCAAACTCTTTGTTCAATATTTTTTTCCATTGTTTTTTTCGCAACGCCCTACTGAGGTGAACTGGTTTCAACAGCTGCCGTAAACGAACTGTCTGACAGATCGCGCTCATTTTTGGCATAGTAATTAAGGACAGTGCTGCCAAACTACATAAACTTAAAATATCGGAAAATATACAGCGCGCGAATTTTAAATGAGAATTTCCGAAAGCTTTTCGGTCACAATGTA